TGATAACATCGTGCGCTTTACTTATAATCAGAGATGATATATGATCTTCCTCGTTGTGACTAGCGGATTCCAGATGCTTTTCATCATGCTTCATTTGCATATGGGAGAATGAGTCTCCGTCTAAGGTTTAGACTTTGACTTTTTCATTTCTTCTGATCAGTCTTGAGGATGAACAATTTTTTTTTCGTCTAGAATGCTTCTTCATCTTGGATTATCCAACGACCGATGATTGTTTTGTTAACTTGACCCTTTAGCTTCGTCTGATGTTTATTTGTTGCTTGAGCCAATTTTGTCGGTCTTGCTTTGCTCTTGTTTTTTCACGCACAAAATCCACGACCAGAACGGCCCGTTCTGAAAACAGAACGGCGCGTTCCGGGACTCATCCGGAACGGCCCGTTCTCCCTCCGGAACGCCCATTCTCCTTCCGGAACGGGCCGTTCTCCAACTAGAACTGCCCGTTCTGAAATTTGGAACGGCCTGTTCTCCCTCCGGAACGGCTCGTTCCCAACCACGAATTTCAGTTTAATTTAATAGCTTGGAACAGCCCGTTCCAGATTGGGAACGGCCCGTTCCGGGCTACTAAATCAGCCACATTTTTTTTTTAAACCACGTTACAAAATTCAATCTTTTCTAAATTAACTTGTAAAATAAAAGTAAAAAATTAAGGAAGAAAAAATTATAATAAAAGATATTATTAGCAATCTAATAAATTTTTAATTAGTTTTTTTAAAATGAAACTCTTTTGGAAATTTAATTATCTAATAAATGACTTTAACTTTAATGAAATCTTTTAATATTTTATTAAAATTTTAAATTAGAAGGTTACAAATTTACAATTAGCTTTTTTATCATGTGTGAAATTTGATGATATTTTTTAAATTAACCTTTAAAATAAAACTTAAAAATAGAAAAAAAATAAAAAATAAAAAATAATAATAAAAGATATTATTAGTAATTAAATTTACTTTTAATCATTTTTCTAAAATTAAATTCGTCTGGAAAAATTAATTATTTAATAAACGACTTTAGCTATAATGAAACTTTTTAATTTATTCCAATTAAAAATTGAAGGTTACAATTAACTTTTTTGTCATAAAAAAAATTAATAAATATTATAATATACTAATAAATATCATAATGATGTGGGATCTAGAAATATATATAGTGAGGCAATAAAATATTTTAAAATATTTATACAAAAAATATAATATTTATTTTATCAAATACATATTTTTGTAATAAAAACATCTAAAATATCTATCAAGTAACAATTTTTTCTTCTTTTTCTTTTTTATTTTAGATTATATTAAAGCATAAATTTATATATAATTTTATGTGATTTGTTTAATATTAGAGAAACAAAATAGTAAAAATTTAAAGAATAAAATTAGTACTAATTTATTTTCATTTTTATCTCTTCTAATTTTTTACTTCTATTATATATATATATATATATTTGTGTATGTATATATTTTTTTATTAGAATAAAACCTCTTATCCTCTTTCAACACTTATTATTCTATCATATAAGATCAAAAAATTAAAAAATAAAAGAATTGAAAAAAAAGATTTTAATAAATTAAATTATGGCATCATTATACGAGAAATATACGAGAAATATATATTTTTTAATTTAAAAACTATAACATGTTATATTAATAAAAAAAATTAAAGACAATTTTATTAGTGAAGACAATTACTTAATAGAATAAAGTGTGAATAAAATACTAATATATTAAATATATTAAAGATAATTAAAATGTAATATAATATAATCTATATTATATAATAATTAAAGAAAAACTTTAGTGGGGACAATTGTCCCAACCTCATGAATATAGATCCGTCATTTTAGTCAATACATATTAGAGGATTCTAGATAAGAATGAGGTGTATCATCTGAACATTTTTTTTTCTTCTGTTATTCTTTTTGTCCTTATCCTTTCATAGATGATAGGTTGCATATATTTAACATTGTTTTCATCGATACACAGTGAATTATATTCTCAATTATTTTCCTGAGCCTTCTTTTTTATTTTTCTCTTTTATAGTATCATTAATATTTAAGAATATTTTCTCTTGTTGATTATTTTATTAAAAATTATGAGGTTATACAAGTCTTTCATTTTATAATGAAAAAGCTCATTCAGAAATATTAAAAAAATTAAAAAATTTTTAATTTATTACAACCTCAAATAAAAATTCTTTAAGCCCATTTTGCATGTGAGCTGCGATCGACAAATCTGCACCGTAACAGACTAACAAAGGTTAGTGTGTGTTTGCCTTCACTCTCTGTTAACTTGGACGTGATTTGGAGAAACAACTATTAGTTGCTTTTGTAACATAGTAAGTTATTTCAGAAGGTCCAAAAGCCCAGTATGGGTGATTTAGTAGCCTAGAACGGGTCATTCCCAAATTGGAACGGGGCGTTCCAAACTACTAAATTGACCTATAAATCGTAGTTGAGAACGGGACGTTCCAAACCCTAGAACGGGCCATTCTGGATGGAGAACGGGTCGTTCTAGATGAATCCCAGAACGGGTGGTTCTGGTTTCAGAACGAGTCGTTCCAGATTCGAAACGGGCCGTTCCGGATTCGAAACGAGTCGTTCTGGCCACTCCTGAACTTCTATAAATAGGGGTTGTGCAGTTGAGGAGAAGAGGAAGGGAACTTAGAGAGAGGCTTTACAAAGAAGTTTTAGAGATAAGGACTCTAGGTCTGTGAGCTCCTTTCTTTCCCAAATTTCTCTGGATGATTCTTCTTCTCCTCTAGGTCACTAATGTCTTTTGTCTTTTCTTGAAATCCAGACTAGGAAGCTTGCTTTGGGTGGATTGAGGTTCTGGGTTGAGCTTCAGAAAGAAATTCTACTTCTCCTCAGTTCTTGGCCATTTTGAGCCAATTTTCAAGTAAAGGAAAGTAGAATGTTTGTTGTTTATTAGGTTGCATGTGAGTTTAGAAACTCAATCGATGCATGAATGTTGAGAATCCATGGTTGGATTGGATAAATTGTTCATTTTGGGGTTTTTGGGAAAATTGGAGTTTTGATGATTTTGATGCATCTGATGAGTGCATGTTAATTTTGAACATTTTTTTGAGTTGTATGGAGCCTGTGCATTGTGTTTTGGGTTTGGATATGGCTGGATTTGCTGGTTTGGATGAGTTTTTGAACTCTCTGACTGAGATTAGGCTAAGCGCAGGTTGAGCGCCCTGGGCGCGGAAGAGCTTAGGGCTCTTGGGTTGGATGTTAGGCCGGGCGTGAATTGGTTGCGCCGGGCGTGAGTGGGTTTGATGTTTTTGGATTGAAATTGATGTTCATGCATGTTTAAAGTTGAAGTTTTAGATCATGTATGTATGATATATGATATATGTTGAGGTGTGATTCATATGTATGCTTGGTAATGATATATATGAATGTTTAAATATGATATGGCATGAGTATATGTTCATATGAGTACGATTATTGATCATGATGGTGGGTAGACCATGTATGATGTATGATGCATTATTGCATGTGATGTCTTATGGCATGAGTATGATTATTGATCATGATGATGGGTAGACCATGTATGATGTATGATGCATTATTGCATGTGATGTTTTATGGCATGTGTATGATTGTTGATCATGATGGTGGGAAGACCATGTATGATGTGTGATGCATAATTGCATGTGATGCCTTATGGCATGAGTCTAGCCTAGGACTAGAGGAGAGGGAAAATATTTTCGAACTGGAAGAGCTCACATAGAGTCTCTTGAGAGTGGTGCTTGGATAGGCAACTGATATATGAGAGTGGTGCTCAGGTAGGGCCATTGGATTTGGGTGAGAGTGGTTCTCAGGTAGGCCATTAGGTTGGGTGAGTCTCCTTTAAGTCCTTAGCTAGTGTTGAAGCGGAGTATGAGGTCGAGGGTTATTTCCTTAACCAAGTACTTGGGCAGGTGTGTGGATCCTTGCAGATAGTCGGTGGGCGAACTCCACAAGTGAATTGGTAATGTAACGACCCGCCATGGTCTCTACACTTAGTGGAATCGCACTACAACTAGTTAACTAAGAGAATATTAAACTGGATAACACATATATACGGGCATAAACATAAGAATCAAAATAACTAAGTTTCTGTATTCAAAATAAAGCACCATATATGTACAGTCATCCCAAAATATTCCTTAGTGTCGGTCAAGCACAGACAAAGATCGTTACCCAAAATGGTAACTCAAAACACGAGGCTCAAACTCCCCGTCTCGCAGTGGTCACCTCTACTCCAAGCTATCCCTGACCTACTCCCATACCAAGTATGACCATCGCAGTCCCACCACATGGAAACAGAAGGGTAAGCTAGAGTTCAAAAATCAATCATACAAGTACAGAATAAAATCTATACTACACATTCATCCCAATCAAGTCCCAAAGGAACCTTCCATCTCAATTAATCATCCATTCATCAAACATGAAGTCAAACACCATACCCTTCATCATCATGACAATCATGCAATACAAGCAACTCATGACAGATATCCATGCATATCAATCATCTAATGCGTCGTCACGCATACACCTAGGAGATCTCCCTAATAATAGAGTTGTATAAGTCACATTCCATCCTACCAAAACCACCTCAACCGTTTTCACGCCCAATGCGCCCGCTCGGTCACAGCTAAACAGGATATAATTCTCACTCGGGTTTACTCGGATGATGTCACTTACACAATTGGAAGTCTAGATCCACCGTCAGGTATAGCACAGCTGGGTACGGGCTTTCCACGACCTTGGCATGCATAACCAAGTCAATTGTGGAGTTCACCCACTGACTATCCGCAAGGATCCACGCACCTTCCCGAGTACTTGGTTAAGGGAATAACCCTCGACCTCATACCCCGCTCCAACACTAGCTAAGGACTTAGAGGAGACTCACCCAACCCAGTGGCCTATCTGAGCACCACTCTCCCAAATCCTGTATGATTATCCTAATTCATATTTTCTTAATTGAATATTTTTCTCTACGGGATTCAGTATATTAGTTATTTTACTTGCAGATTTTTACCTTCACAAAAGGCTATATGGTTGAAGCAAGATGGTGTCATGAGGGTTACATTCCAAAATATAATGAATATAAAGTTAATGGAATCTTAACAACTGGTATACCTGTTCTTCTAACAACATTTATTGGCCCAGGAGAATTTGCAACAAAAGATGTTTTTGATTGGATTTTCAGTGATTCAAAAATCATTGAAGTTGCATCAGTAATTGGTAGATTCTTGGGTGACATAGGCTCCCATAAGGTATGAATTCATTTCAAATTAGAATTAGCGATTTGATTTCACATATACATATATCCACCCATAATTATTTATTCACCAAAGACAAATATATACGAGATTAGATTTGGCTTAATTAATAAATATTGAGAATTATTGTGGTTCCTAATTGAACTTTTTTATTTGTTTTGGTTATAGTTTGAGCAACAAAGAGTACACACTCCCTCAGCTGTCGAATGTTGCATGAATCAATATGGTTTTTCTCAAACAGAGGCCTATGACCACATTCTCAATGACGTTGAAAATTGCTGGAAGATTATAAATGAAGCATGTCTCAAGTCAAATGATATTCCAAAGGTTGCACTTGATTGTGTGGTTAATTTAGCACGTTCATTTCACTTTTTATATGGAGACCTCCAGGATAAATTCACAAATTCAGAACTAATGAAAGATCAAACCTCTACACTGCTTGTGGATCCTGTGTGCATCAATCAGCACCAGTACGAGAAGCTATATCACATATAAATGAGAATAACACATCATATATCCTTCCTACTTAAAGAAGAGTACTATCATAATGCTACGTACTAGCGAGTATAAATAAATATGAAATAAGAATGAAGTGTGCGAATGAAAGTCAATTCATCCTACTTGAAATGCTCTATGTGTTAGTTTGTGACAAATGTTGTTTGTAGTATTTTCCATTTGTTGCCGATTATCTAGTTACCAATATAATAATGTTTAATTATTTTAATTCATATATATATATATATATTTTAAAACTAGGTTACAATACCCCCCAACAAATAGGAATTTTCGTCCCCGAAAATAGGCTTACCTGAAAAGAGGAATGAATACTATTCCTTGAACTGACTCTCTACCTCCCAGGTTGCCTCACCAGTAGCTGCATCCCAAAGAATTTTCACCAAGCTGATGGACTTGCCACAAAGCTCTTTCAACTTATGATCAACCACAGCTACCGGTCTCTTCTCATAGGTCAAGTTCTCTCTAACTTGCACCTCATCCTGAGATTTTCTTTAATCCTCTTATGGATTCTCAACATTCATGCACCTATTGAGTTTCTAAGCTCTCATGCAACCCAAACAACAAACATTCTAACTTCCCTCACCTGAAGATTGTCTCAGACAGCCAAAAACTGACAAGAAGTAGAATTTCCCTTCGTAGCTCAACGCAGAACTTCAATCTATCCAAAGCAAGTTTTCTAATATGAATTTCAAGAAAAGACAGAAGACATTAGTGGTTTAGAGGAGAAAAAGAATCATACAGAGAAATTCGGGAAAGAAAAGAGCTCACAGACCCAGAGACCTTCTCTCTAAAACTTCTCTCTAGAAACTTTTGATTCTCCTCACGGCCCACACCCCTATTTATAGACATTTCGAAGTGGCCAGAACGGCCTGTACCGAAATCAGAACGGCCCGTTCTGGAACTCATCTAACCTCTCCTGAATCTGTCTCACCATCTCAGTAGTCTGAAGAACTAACTCTGGACCAACCACTACTGACTCACCCTCCTGATACCAACATAATGGAGTCCTACACCTCCTGCCATACAAAGACTCAAACGGCGCCATGCCAATACTCGCATGATAACTGTTGTTGTAGGTAAACTCCACTAATGGTAACACCTCCTCCCAACTACCCAGGTGATCTAATACACAAGGTCTCAAGAGATCCTCTAGTGACTGAACTGTTCTCTCTGACTGACCATCTGTCTGTGGATGATAAGCAGAGCTCAACCTCAACCTCGTCCCCAATGCCTGATGCAGAGTCTGCCAAAACCTAGAAGTAAACCTTGGATCTCTGTCAAAAATAATACTGGAAGGCACTCCATGCAACCGTACTATCTCTCTGATATACAACTGTGCAAGCCTCTCCAAGGACCACCTCTTGTTGACAGGAAGAAAGTGTGCACACTTTTTCAACCTATCAACAATCACCCAGATAGAGTCACTGTTCCTAGCTATCCTAGGCAACCTAACCACAAAGTCCATAGTGACACTATCCCACTTCCATTCAGGAATCTCCATCAACTGTAAACCCCTCCGGGCCTCTGATGCTCAATCTTCGCTTTCTGACAAGTCAGACAAGCTGCCACAAACTCTGCTATCTCTCTCTTCATACCAGGCCACCAAAAACTTTTCTTGATGTCTTGATACATCTTAGTCATACCAGGATGTATGCTAAGACGACTCATGTGTCCCTTCTCTAGAACAGCTCTCTTCAACTCTGAATCATGAGGTAAACAAATCCGACCTCTGAATCTCAGAATCCCATCAGTACCAAGCTCAAAACCAGCTGCCCTCTCAGTACCAAGCAATCCCAAAATCCTCAACAACTCTGGGTCCTGTAACTGCTTAGTTCCCACTTGTTTCAAGAACTCATTAGTTATGGTGATCATACAACAACTAATGTGATCATGAACAACCTCCACCTCTAATCTCAAGTCTCTGAACTGCTCAATCAGTTCCAACTCCCTAACATCATAGCCAACATGTGAATGGATTTCCTACTCAATGCATCTGCTACCACATTTGCCTACCAAGATGATACATCAACTAGAAATCAAAGTCCTTTAGGAATTCCATCCGTCTCCTCTGCCTCATATTCAACTCCTTCTGATCAAACAAGTATTTCAAACTCTTGTGATCACTGAATATACTGAATCTCGCACCATACAAATAGTGTCTCCACGACTTCAAGGCAAAAACCACAGCTACAAGCTCCAAATCATGAGTAGGATAATTCCTTTCATGGGTCTTAAGCTGCCTCGAAGCGTATGCCACTACTCTCCCTCCCTGCATCAACACACAACCTAACCCCTGGTGAGAAGCATCACAAAACACATCAAAATGCTCATCAGTGTCAGGTAACACCAAAACTGGAGAAGTAGTCAACCGTTTCTTTAACTCCTGAAAACTCTGCTCACACGCATCTGTCCAAAAAAAAGGCTGATCCTTTCGGGTCAGTTGAGTCAAAGGCATTACTATTCGAGAAAAACCCTCAATGAATCTCTAATAGTAACCTGCCAACCCAACAAAACTCCTAATCTCTGTAGCAGTCCTCGGACGTTCCCACTGACTCACAACCTCCACCTTGGCTGGATCCACTGCAATCCCCTCTGCCGATATCACATGCCCCAAAAATTTCACCTCGGACAACCAAAACTTACACTTGGATAGTTTGGCATACAATTGTCTCTCCCTCAGCACCTCCAAAACCAACCTCAGATGCTCATGGTGATCTTCCAAAGATCTAGAATACACCAAAATATCATCAATAAAGACCACTACAAACCTGTCCAAGAATGACCTGAAAATCTTGTTCATGTAATTCATGAACACCGCTGGAGCATTAGTGACACTGAAAGGCATCACTACATACTCATAGTGACCATACCTAGTCCTGAAAGCAGTCTTTGGTATGTCACTCTCCTTCACTCTGATCTGATGGTATCCGGATCTCAAATCAATCTTTGAAAATACAGAAGCTCCCCTCAATTGATCCATCAAATCATCAATCCTCAGAAGCGGATACTTATTCTTTATCGTCAACTTATTCAGTTGTCGATTATCAACACACAAACGGGCCCCACCATCCTTCTTCTTCACTAACAGTACCGGGGCACCCCAAGGAGAAACACTGGGCCTCACCATCTATTTTTCCAACAAATCCTCAATCTATTTCTTCAGCTCTAATAACTCAGCTGGAGCCATCCTATAAGGAGCCACTGATACTGGTCCTGCACCGAGTACTAGATCAATGATAAACTCAACATCACGCATAGGTGGCAATCCCGGCACATCATCTGGAAACACCTTAGGAAACTCACTAACAATCTCAATCCCAGTGTTGGCCCTCTCTATCTCAACACTCAAAGCAGCGAACAACATGAAGCACTCAGCTCCATCCCTCATTAACTGCTCAACCTGACCCGCTGATACTAACACCTCATCCTCCAAATGAGGAAATACCAAATCTCTCCGAGCACAATCTATAAGGATGTGATGGGCAGATAACCAATCCATCCCTAAGATTATGTCGATATCCACCATGGGCAATATAATCAGGTTCACTCGGAACCTCCTACCAAACACCTCTATCGGGCATCTCACACACATCTTCGACGTCACTACAGAAACTGAAGTCGGAGTAGACACAGACAAATCAACATGCAATGCAGATACTGATAAACCTAATCTCCCCACACAATCAACAGAAATGAAAGAATGCGTGGCACCAAAGTCGAACAAAAATAAAACATCCTCACCTGCTGCCTTCCCCTTCCCCTTTACCAAGTCTGATGAAGTGGAAGCCTCTACACCTGACAATGCAAACACTATCCCTGCAGCTGTAGGCCTTGGTGGCCTCGGGGCACTCCCAGATGAAGTCGGCGGTGTTTGACAATCTCTAGAGATGTGGCCTAGCCTGCCACATCTAAAGCAAACATTCCCTGGATGGGAACATTCTCTGACTGTGTGAGCTCCTCCACATCTATAACATCTGAGAGTAGCAGCTCCACTCTGACTCCCACTCCTAGCTATGTCAGTAGGTTTCCTTATGACAGCACCCCCTTGCTGGGATTGGGGCCTATCATAAGGCTTCCTCTGAGAACCACCACCACTCTTGGACCCAACTGGCCCACCAACAGTCTTCGTCGGCTTGCCGACGCTCTCTAATCCCTCCACAACCTTCGCCTTCTCTACCAAGGCTGGAAACTCTGTGATGGCCATAGGCACCACCACTCTCCTCAAATCAAACTTCAAGCCTTCAGCAAACTTCCTACACTTCCAAGCCTTAGAGATGGCTTGGGTGTAGAAGAGTGCCAAATGCTCGAATCTCATGGCGGACACGGTCACCGACATTCCCCCCTGTTGTAATCTCATAAACTCTGCCTCCCGAGCATGCTTGACACTCTCTGGGAAGTACTTCTCGAGGAAAGCCCTCTTGAAGAACACCCAGTCCACAACCACTCCATGGTCAAACATCATCTGGCTAGTACCTCTCCACCAATACTCTGCCTCTCCTGTCAACATATACACTGCATAGGCAAGCTTCCGCTCCTCTGAACAGCCTAAAACTGAGAATATCTTCTCCAACTCGCAAATCCAGTGGTCAGCCACATCCGAATCTGCATCACCTCTAAACTGAGGAGGACTACACTTCCTAAACTCAGCCATATCCCTGCTTGCATGAGACTCAGTAGATCTTGCTGCACCAGCTGCAGCTCTCTCGGCATCCACCCTAGCAAAGTGTGCAGTCTGCTGCTGCATCGCCATGGCCATCATCTCCATGGCCCTGGCTATCTGATCATACTGTGGCCTCACCATACTACAAGAATTCAAATATCTTATTAGTAACATGATACCACCATATATCATCAAAACTAACACATATCAGAGATATGACACAACAGAAACCTAGAAGGATCACTCCCCACAGAGTATCCAAAAGACTCGACTGGCTTTGATACCATAAAAGTGTAACGACCCGCCATGGTCTCTACACTTAGTGGAATCACACTACAACTAGTTAACTAAGAGAATATTAAACTGGATAACACATACATACGGGCATAAACAGAAGAATCAAAATAACTAAGTTTCTGTATTCAAAATAAAGCACCATATATGTACAGTCATCCCAAAATATTCCTTAGTGTCGGTCAAGCGCAGACAAAAATCGTTGCCCAAAATGGTAACTCAAAACACGAGGCTCAAACTCCCCGTCTCGCAGCAGTCACCTCTACTCCAAGCTATCCTTGACCTACTCCCATACCAAGTATGATCATCGCAGTCCCACCACATAGAAACAGAAGGGTAAGCTAGAGTTCAAAAATCAATCATACAAGTACAAAATAAAATCTATACTACACATGCAACCCAATCAAGTCCCAAAGGAACCTTCCATCTCAATTAATCATCCATTCATCAAACATGAAGTCAAACACCATACCCTTCATCATCATGACAATCATGCAATACATGCAACTCATGATAGATATCCATGCATATCAATCATCTAATGCATCGTCACGCATACACCTAGGAGATCTCCCTAATAATAGAGCTGTATAAGTGACATTCCATCCTACCGAAACCACCCCAACCGTTTTCACGCCCAATGCGCCCGCTCGGTCATAGCTAAACAGGATATAATTCTCACTCGGGTTTACTCGGATGATGTCACTTACACAATTGGAAGTCCAGATCCACTGTCAGGTATAGCACAGCTAGGTACATGCTTACCACGACTTTGGCATGCATAACCAAGTCAATTGTGGAGTTCGCCCACCGACTATCCGCAAGGATCCACGCACCTTCTCGAGTACTTGGTTAAGGGAATAACCCTCGACCTCATACCCCGCTCCAACACTAGCTAAGGGCTTAGAGGAGACTCACCCAACCCAGTGGCCTATCTGAGCACCACTTTCCCAAATCTAATGGCCTATCTGAGCACCACTCTCATATATCAGTGGCCTATCCAAGCACCACTCTCAAGAGACTCTATGTGAGCTCTTCCAATTCGAAAATATTTTTCCTCTCCTCAAGTCCTAGGCTAGACTCATGCCATAGGGCATCACATGCAATCATGCATCATACATCATACATGGTCTGCCCACCATCATGATCAACAATCATACACGTCATAAGACATCACATGCAATAATGCATCATACATCATAAATGATCTACCACCATTATGATCAATAAACATACCCATATGAACATATATACACATGTCATATCATATTCAACCATTCATACGTATCATCACAAGCAAACATATGAATCATACCTCACCAAACATCATATATCATACATACATGATCTAAAACTTCAACTTTAAACATGCATAAACATCAATTTAAATCAATTATTTATAAATATAATCATGCTCGGCGCAGTCAGCTCGCGCCTGGCCTAACACCAACCCAAGAGCTCTAAGCTCTTCCACGCCTGATGCGCTTAACCTGCGCCCGACCTAATCCCAGTCAGAGAGTTTCAAAACTCTCATCCAAACCAATACATCCAGCCACATGCAAACACAAAACACAATGCACAGGCTCCATACAACTCAAAACAAACTTAAATCTCACATGCATCCAACCTATGCATCAAAATCTTCCTTTTTCTCAAAACCCCAAAAATGAGATTTTCTTCAATCCTCTTATGGATTCTCAACATTCATGCACCTATTGAGTTTCTAAACTCTCATGCAACCCAAACAACAAACATTCTAGCTTCCCTCACCTGAAGATTGGCTCAGACAGCCAAAAACTGACAAGAAGTAGAATTTCCCTTCGTAGCTCAACGCAAAACTTCAATCTACCTAAAGCAAGCTTTCTAGTCTGAATTTCAAGAAAAGACAGAAGACATTAGTGGTCTAGAGGAGAAAAAGAATCATACAGAGAAATTCAGGAAAGAAAGGAGCTCACAGACCTAGAGACCTTCTCTCTAAAACTTCTCTCTAGAAACTTCTGATTCTTCTCACGGCCCACACCCCTATTTATAGACATTTAGGAGTGGCCAGAACGGTCTGTACCGAAACCGGAACGGCCCGTTCTCCAACCAGAACGGCTCGTACTCCCTCCGGAACGGCCCGTTCTCCAACCAGAACGGCCCGTTTTGGAATTTGGAATGGCCCGTTGTCCCTCCAGAAAGGCCCGTTCTCAACTACGTTTTATAGGTCAATTTAGTAGTTTGTAATACCAGCATCCAGCACGACTAAACAACTTACAACACAGCCTTATCAGCATCCAGCACAGCAATATCGACATCCAGCACAGCTAAACAACTTACAACACAGCAATATCGGCATCCAGCACAGCTAAACAACTTACAGCACAACAATATCGGCATGCAACACAACTAAACAACTTACAACACAACAATATACATCAACTACAGCTCAACATCATAATTCAGCATTATCAACTAGTCAGCACAGCAATATTTAACATCTACAGCTCAGCTCAGCATATCTATCAGCAAATTTCTACACATAACATCTTAACATCAAATATCATGACAGAGCCCGGCGAGCTCATAGTTGTGCCCGGCGTGGCACAACTAGAGGGCACCAAGGCTCAGCGCGCCCGGCACAAATCCCATTGCGCCCGGCGTGCTAGGAGGCAAAGACCTCAGAAGGTCTCACATGCCCAGCGTGCAAACCCTTGCTCGGCGTAGGGTAAGCAGAGACTTCTCCAAAGTCTCACGCCCGGCGCAATATAAATTGCGCCCGGTGCCACCTCTGGCAGAGACTCCCAAGGAGTCTGCACGCTCGGTGAGACAAGGTCACGCTCGATGCCTCACCAGAAATCCCCAAGCAATGTCACTTACTGATATTGCGCCTAGCGCGGTCCAACCACGCCCGGCGGGGTCGGGGTCACCTTCAAAAACACATGTTCCCCTTCAACAAACTCCAAAGGCTTACGCCTCTTATCAGCATATGATTTCTGCCTACTCTGAGCATTCTTCATCCTCTCCTGAATCAGCTTCACCTTCTCAGTAGTCTGTAGGATCAGCTCCGGTCCCACAACCACTGACTAACCATCTTGATACTAGCACAGAGGAGTCCTACACCCCCTGCCATACAAGGCTTCAAACGGCGCCATTCCAATACTAGCATGAAAGCTATTATTGTACGTGAACTCAACTAGCGGTAGGACATCCTCCCAGCTTCCCAAGTGATCTAACACACAAGTCCTCAGCAGATCCTCCAAGGACTGGATTGTCCTCTCTGACTGACCATCCGTCTGTGGATGATAAGCAGAACTCAGCTTCAGCTTCGTGCCTAAGGCTTGATGTAGACTTTGCCAAAATCTGGAAGTTAACCTCGGATCTCTGTCTGAAATAATACTGGAAGGCACCCCGTGCAACCATACTATTTCCCTCACATACAACTGTGTCAGCTTCTCCAAGGACCACTTGATGTTGACAGGTAAGAAATGCGCACACTTGGTCAACCGATCAACAATCACCTAGATAACATCACTATTCCTAGCCGACCTAGGCAACTCGACAATGAAGTCCATAGTGATACTATCCCACTTCCATTCTGGAATCTCCATCTGCTGCATCAACCCACTCAGCTTCTGATGCTCCACCTTCCCCTTCTAACAGGTCAGACAGGCCGCCACATATTCAGCTATCTCCCTCTTCATACCAGACCACCATAAAGTCTTCTTGAGGTCTTGGTACATCTTAGTCATACCCGGATGTATGCTAAGTCTTCTCTTGTGGCCTTCCTCCAACACAGCTCTCCTCATTTCAACATCCTGAGGTAGGAAATTCTGCCCTTGAACCTCAAGATTCCATCTTCTCCCAGCTCAAAACCAACAGCCTTCTTGGTACCCAACAAACCAAGAAGCTTCACCAGCTCAACATCTTGCAACTGCTTAAGTCCAACCTGCCTCAAGAACTCACTAGTTATGGTAATCGCCCCACAACTAATGTGATCCTGAGCTAACTCCACACAGAGATTCAAATCTCACAGCTTAATATATATAACAACACACATCTCACATCATTCAGCAATAATAGCAGTAAACAACAGTACACAGCGGTAAACACACAGTGCGTCGTCACGCATATAAGTTAGTATTGGTCGCTTGTAAGCGGTATAGCTCGACCTGGCCCCTATATCGTGGTCGCTTTGTACACGTGGGCCTTGACCTTGCCCATACACGAGATCACTAAGAACCTAGAGGAGAACAACAAGTTACCACTCCAAGGGTCATCTTTCCAGGGAGAGTTTTCAACAAATTGGGCTCTAAGAGCACCACAGCCACTCAATCCACACAATGGGATGAGGAATTTTGAAAAACATCTCCTCTAGTCTTATGGATCAACAGCTTAACCTTACGGCCTACAACAACTCCTAACAGCACAGAGCACAACACTGCATAGCAGCAATAACAACACCGCATAGCGGCAATAACAGCACCATATAGTGGCAATAACAGCACCAACTTAGCAGCTATAACAGCACCGACTTAGCGGCTATAACAGCACCACATTAGTGGCAATAACAACACCGCATAGCGACAATAACAACACAAGTCAACAATATACAACACAGCACAGCAAATCAGCATACAACAATAGCGGCTTACAGCTCAGCTAAACAACTTACAGCACAGTAATATCAGCATCCAGCACGACTAAACAACTTACAACACAGCCTTATCAGCATCCAGCACAGCAATATCGACATCCAGCACAGCTAAACAACTTACAACACAGCAATATCGGCATCCAGCACAGCTAAACAACTTACAGCACAACAATATCGGCATGCAACACAACTAAACAACTTACAACACAACAATATACATCAACTACAGCTCAACATAGATCAATCTGGTGGGACTGCGATGATCATACTTGGTATGGGAGCAGGTCAGGGATAGCTTGGAGTTGAGGTGACCGCTGCTAGATGGGAAGTTTGATCCTCGTGTTAGATTTACCATTTTGGGTAACGATTTTGTCTGTGCTTGACCGACATTAGGGAATATTATTTTTGGGATGACTGTACATATATGGTGTTCTATTTTGTATACAGAAACTTAGTTATTTTTATTGTTATCTATACCTATATGTATGAGTTATCCAACTTAATATTTCTCTTAGTTCACTAGTAGTAGTGCGATTCCACTAAGTGTAGAGACCATGGCGGGTCGTTACAGCTTTTGGTGTAACCTGAAAATGTTAGAAAACGTGGATTACAAGCGTAATACCAAACAAGCACTTAATCTCATACACACGAATATTTGCTTTCAGAAATTATGTATAAATTAGTTTGCAATTTTTTTTTCATATAATATCTTTAAAAAATTAAAAATTAATTTTTACATGGTATAATTTTAATTTCTAGAAATGCATGTTTCATTGTTTTTCTGTATTTTTTTTTTCATAAGTGCTTCAAGAAAAAATTATCTAAACAAATTTGTCACTTTAAAAGCTCTTAAAAACACTTTAATATATAAACACCATAATCAAATGTAAGGTTAAGTAATATGAGAATTTGAAATTTTTGAAGTACCCTTAAAAATAGAGTAAATTACAGTGGTACTCTCTTCTTTTTTAATCCTTACAATAATTTTTCTTCATGGTTTAAAAAATATTACACTAGCCGTTTTTATACATTACAATGACTACGTAATTTTAATTATTTGAAAAACATTCCATTGTAATCTCCAATAAAAAAAATGCTATTACAAACACAATTAAGGTTTTCGTGAGATTTCATAAAACTATAGGAGTAATAGTGTAATTTACTAAAAAAAATTAGGCTAAAAACCTATTTTAGTCCCTTATAATAATTGTTCGTTTCAATTTAGTCTCACTTTTATTTTTAGTCTCAATTTGGTCCCTAATAAATTAATTGGTTGCAACGTCGGACTTCCGTCCAAATTATTTAAACGGAGTTAACTGTTGGCCACGTGGATGCCACGTGGAAGCTACGTACATGTCACGTGGATGTCAAATTTTGTCATGCATCTGGAACTAGAACGACCCGTTTTGGAACCAAAACGACCCGTTCTGAAATCGGAACGGCCCGTTCCGGTTGCACTCATGGTATGTAGATTTTGCATATGGAATGACTGTTCTAGATGCATTATTTAACACCAACACATGCAGCAGAACGAGCTATTCTAAGACCAGAATGGGCCGTTCTGGCTTCAAAACGAGAAATTCTGGATTCAGAACGGGCCATTCCAGAACGCCAACCAACATAATGCACCAGTGTGGTTCAAACATCGAAAGCAAACCATTTACACATACACAACTTTTTTATCTACAAAATAATATATTTTAAAAAATAAAAATTATATTCTAATATATATATATATATATATATATATATTTAACGCAGCGGTCACAACAACCAGATCCAGCCTAATCCTGACCTACTCCCACACACAATATGATCATCGCAATTCATCCACATTGAAACATAAAGGTAAGCTAGAGTTCAATAAACAATCATAAAATTATAGAACAATAATCTATACTACATATTCATCCAATCATGTCCCAAGGGACTTCCATCTTAATCAATCATCAACCTATCAATCATGAAGACAAGCACCATACACTTCATCATAATAGCAATCATGTAATAACAACAACTCATGACAGATATCAATGCATATCAATCATCTAATGTGTCATCACGCATTCACCTAGGAGATCTCCCTAACAACAGAGCAGTATAAGTGACATCTCATCTTACTGAAATCACCTCAACCGTTAGGGACCAAAAATAGATTTATCCTAAATTTGAGGGACTAAAAACATATTTAAGCCTTGTAAAAATTTATATCACATATTAAAAACATCTTTATATGATAAATAAATTAAACTTAATTTTTATAAGATTTAACATATTTATTTATATGTTTTTATTAGTGTTAAATTATTATTAAGTAGGTTTTTAAGATTGTTATGTAACCAAAGATTTTATAAAAATGTCTATGACAGATAAATATATAATATTTATAACATGTATTTTTAACAAATTTGGTTTAAATCTGTTAAATTATAATATAACATAATCTGACTTAATTTATTTTCATGCTTAATCATAATTGTAGATATAAAAACTTGTAAAAAATAACTATAATATATATTTATACTTTAAAAAATTATATATAATTTTTAATATTACAAATATATGAATAAGTATTGTCATCACGATCTAAAATTTATGGATATAATTTTTAACTATATGTGTGACATTCTGGAACCAGAATGGCCCGTTCTGGTTCCAGATGCATGACAAAAATTTGATATCCACGTGGCATCTACGTAGCTTTCACGTGGTATCCACGTGACCAACAATTAACTCTGTCTAAATAATTTGGACGGAAGTCCGACATTGCAACCAATTAATTTATTAGAGACTAAATTGAGACAAAAAAATAAAAATAAGACTAAATTGAAACAAACAATTATTATAAGAAACAAAATAGGTTTTTAGCGAAAAAATTACATAATGTGTAAGCTGTTACGTAGTATAATTGTTTTAATTTAAAAAAAGAATAATAAAAAAGAGGTAGTTCCGTCTTAAACTTTTCCTTCTCTAAACAGTAATAAAAGTCATTTTCTTCGTCCATTTTCCTTTTGCTTCTAATCACGGCTAAGTCCTTCCAATCAAACCTCTATTAGTTAACAATTCTTGGCTACTTTACTTTTACTTCCTGCAAGTGACGGCCAGGAATTTTAGATATATATAAATATATAATTTTATATTTTTTAGGAATAAAAATATATTTTTTTAATTTTTTTTATAAGATTTTATATTTTAAAAATATTAAATAAATATTTTTAATATTTTTAATTTTTTAATATAAGTAACAAAACAATCATTTAATCATTTATTTCTTACATTAAAATTTTGTCTTTTTTAGAAAAATATAATATAAACTTGGATAAACTATATATCATCTTTTGATTAAATTACTTAACTATAATTGACATAATATATGACATATTGCGCACACATATATATAAGTTTGTTAATTCATAATTACTTGTTTTTTTTTTATAAAAAGGAGTACATTAACAAATTATATTTAGATGCATTTTAAAAAATATTACGATTGTAAAGTAGTAAGTTAGGTGATTCAGTAGCCTAGAACGGGCCGTTCCGAAATTGGAACGGGCCGTTCCAAACTACTGAATTGACCTATAAAATGTAGTTGAGAACGGGCTGTTCTGGAGGGAGAACGGGCCGTTCCAAACCCCAAAACGGGCCATTTCGGAGGGAGTACGGGCTGTTTCGGAAGGAGTACGGGCTGTTCTGGATGGAGAACGGGCCGTTCTAGATGGAGAACGGGCCGTTCTGGATGAATTCCAGAACAGGCCGTTCTGGTTTCAGAACGGGCTGTTCTGCATGTGATTTTTACGCATGATGAAGGGGTGCAGAACGGGCCGTTTCAGATTCGGAACAGACCGTTCTGGCCACTCTTGAACTTCTATAAATAGAGTTAGGTGGTGGAGGAGAAGAGGAGTTTTTTTAGAGAGAAGTTTTAGACAGAAAGACTCTGGACTAAGAAGCTTGCTTTAGGTGGATTGAAGTTCCGGGTTAAGCTTCGGAAGGGGAATTCCGCTTCTTGGCCATTCTGAGCCAATCTTCAGGTGAGGGAAGCTAGAATGTAGGTTGTTTAATTTCAAGAGAGTTAGGGAAGCTTTATGCATGATGTTCTTTTGTTGAAATAGTTGAGTTGTTGGGTGCTTAAGTTGAGTTATACTATTTATATTGTGTAAGTTGACATAATAGATGAATTTTAAATATGTTGTATATTGTTGAAGTTGTTTATATAGTTGTTAAAGTTGTATTAAGTTGATATTGTAATTACTATAGTTGTTTAATTAAGTTGTTTGCATGTTGTTAAAATTATTAAAGTTGTATAGTTGTATAATCGAATAAGAAGTATAATTACATTGAGATGTATGATGAGTAGAAAGTGAAATGAAGAGATGCATGTTGAGTATAGAGTTGAAAAGTTGTTTTATTGTTTAAAGTTGTTAAAAGTTGAGATTGATGACTATAGTTTTTTATTGCTGTAAAGTTGTTAAGTTGATTATTGTTGTAAAGTTGTTAAGTTGCTTATTTTTGTAAAGTTGTTAAGTTGTTTATTGCTGTAAAGTTGTCAAGATGCCTATTGTTGTAAAGTTGTTAAGATGCCTATTGCTGTAAAGTTGTGTTGTTGAGTTGTAAGCTGATTAAGCTGTGATAATAAGTTGTTGATCACTAGGACTAGGAGAGATATTTTCGAAGTTGCTCATTCCATCGTGTGGATTGAGATAGTTGCGGTGCTCTGAGATCCCAATTTGTTGAAAAACCCTCATTGGGAAGTTGTCCCTTAGAGTTGCCGTTGTGTTGTTCTCCTCTAGGACTTAGTTGATCTCGTGTGTGGGCAAGGTCGAGGCACACGTGTACAAAGCAACCACGGTATAGGGGCAAGGTCGAGCTATACCGATTATAAAGCGACCACGGTATAGGGGCAAGGTCGAGCTATACCAATTATAAAGTGACCACGGTATAGGGGTCAGGTCGACCTATATCGATTACAAGTGACCAATTTGAGTAAAGTACGAAGTCGGGAACTTAGTTCCTAACCGAGTACTATACTTCCTTGTTTAAGTGACAAAGTCTGAGAAACCATTATCGTGTTGTGGATTGATATTCCAATGTGTTGTGTTGTCGGTTTGGTATAGGACCTAGCCACTTAGACTACTTACCATGTTGTAGGAGATCTCCGAGTCGAAATGGGTGACGACGCATAAGTTGTTGATGAGTTGACTTGTTGTTGATGAGTTGTATATTTGTGGTTGTGTTGTTAAGTTGTGATTGTGTTGTATGTTGACCTTGTTGAGGATGACGATAGTGTTGTTATGTTGTAAGTTGAAATGAATGTTAAGATGTATAGTATATATATATGTTGTTTGTCTCGAGTGTCGAATGCGAAGATGATTATATAGTTTTTATGTTGAATATTAAATTATTATGAGTTGTTTATTGTCTCTAACTTACCCTTGCATGTCTCCATGTGGTTTGGACTACGATGATCATACGTGGTATGGGAGCAGGGCAGAGATAGGCTGGGAGGTAGCTGTTAGAGGCCACAGGAGGTGCCTGAAGACGGATATTTTTTGTAGGCTACGTTATAGTAACAGATTTTCTTGTATATAACTAGTTGTTTGTTGCTAGATTAGCAACTTGTGTTGTAAAAATTTATTATACTATTTTAGTATATTTTCGAGCAGTATGTAGTGTTGTTTCGTAGTGTGACAGCCACGGCGGGTCGTTACAACGATTATAATTTATTAATATACTCTTTTTTAAAAAAGGAGAAGACGTATTTTAACAAACCTCACAAATATTTAATAATTTACATTTATTTATTTTAAAAAAATTAAGTTAACAAGTTACACTCATATAGTTTTTTTTAACAAAAAATATACTTCAAAAGTAATATATTAATTTTAATTTTTTTTACAACATAAAACACTAAAAATAATAAAATACTTAATTTTTAACATGATAAATAATATATTTTATTATAATATATATTAAGAAAATAATTGAAGTTAGTGGAGAGCCTCCACATCAACTAACCTGCATCCGTTCCTTCCTGCCAGTGATAAGTCTTTTGACTCAACAACTCAATGAATTCATATCATCATTCATCAAACAAAAAAGAAATTATATCATCGGTATTTAGGAAAATATTTGTTTTTAATTATATCATCGGTATTTATTTTTCCCACATGCAGAAGATGAAATATCTAAATAATATTGGGCAGAAATGATTATTTTTATTACCAAACCCACCTCGTGCAGGCACCTCCATGAATTTTCTTTCTCATTTCAGCCATCATAGTGGAAAACTGAGCATTATTTTTAAATTAACAGAGATCAATGTCGTTTTGCACCATTCACGTAATAAATTAATAGACATCATAAATTATCATAAATTAGGGTCAAAAAGCGACCAACACATGCAAGCTGGTTTAAGAGTATAAATATGTAGCTAGATGTTTGGGTGGTTCATCAATAAGCTACGCACTCTTTTCCATAGAAATTAAAAAGCGGTTTGTATAAAGCAAAGATGTCCATTGCAGCTTCAGCACTTGTTTCAACCCAAAATGCAGTATCTGATGTCAAGTGACCTTGCGCCAATTTTGCTCCTAGTATATGGGGAAATACTTTCCTTACATTATTATATATATTCATATTTACACATCTAGATTAAATAGAATGTAAATATATAATATAAAAAGTATATAAATATGCACGCATATGCATAACATTAGTTTTATGAAAAATAAACTCTAATTAAGAATGTGATTAGTGAATTTGCATATAATGAAACAATTTTTTATTTTGGTTGTCATCACTAGAAGATATGACAATAT